GGGATTAATTGATTCCTTCCTCATTTGTAATTATGAGATATTCTCCCGCACCTGATCCGGGCTGTTTTATGATGATCAATTCCAAGGCTAACAGGCACGGTACGAGTATGTTTGGTCCCGGGGGTGTTTCACATATCATCTTTACAAGTCATTTTTCACTTTTCTCCAAACTTTGTTGATATGTGTCGCCATTTAATAGACCCACGCGACGAGTCTATTTTTCACTAATACACACATAATAATAACTTTACCAGTTACGTCAAGGACCCTTTCTTGACATAGAGACCATGAAAAGAGATACTTGGATGATCTATTCATAATCTGCAACTGGTTCTATTTAAAAAATGAGCAATTGAAGCATCCAAAATTGCAAAACCTATAATACATTGGTCTAGATCCAGATAAAGACACCGGCTGCACTTCTAATTGATACACATATCTTTTTATAAAAAAATTTGATTTTAAAAGTATACGATATAGTACGGTCTAAGTTTTGTGACAGTCAGTACATAAAATGACTTCCATTGTACCAAATACATTTTTTGAGTTCGTGTTCCCCGTCATGAAAAGTGATCATTCCTTGATTTTTCACCTGCACTACTTTTACCAAAAACCAAAATTAGCAAGTATAAACTTTGTAAAGAATATGATAAAGTTATAACAGTAAGTGAATCATCCTACCTCTTTCGTTTGCTTTTCTGTGTAGAAGATGATGATGGAGTAGTGTGCCAATTCCTTTTCCTTTGGTTGATGAACCAATTGTTGACCTGTTTTAGTTGCAACCCTGTCTCTTGCACTAACTTTGCTTTATCTTCCTCCTAATATAGTTTTGTTCCCATATAGTGAATAAATGTTATAAAGGATTAATACAAAGAATCTTTTGGTCTATCAGTGCAATTTAATACCATATTTGACTTATTATGAAGAATTACATGATGTTATAGGTTAATTTAACGTGTCAAAATTTATACACTATCAAGAAACGAAGGTTGACCTATAACATCATGTAACTTATAATATCAATGATACGTGGGCACATCAGATTAGATAGAATTAGGAATGAAATTATTCGGGACAAGGTGGGTGTGGCCCTATTGAGGATAAGAATGGGGAAGCATGGCTTAGATGGTTTGGACATGTGAGGAAGAGAAGCACGCAGACGTTCCGGTAAGGAGGTATGAGAGGTTGACATTGGAGGGACTTAGGAGAGATAGAGGTAGGCCGAAGAAGAGTTGGGATGAGGTGATTAGGCATGACATGGCGCAGCTACAGCTGACCGAGGACATGCATGACCTGTAATAGGAAGGTAAAGAGATCGAAGATTAGGATAGTAGGTTAGTTAGTCTAGATTATTCATATCGGTAGTGTTACTTACTCTCACATTTTGTTGACAGTAGGCTTATTTGAATACCTGTCATTTTTTTGCATTTCGATTATCTTACTATCTTGTTATGTATGCTACTTTTACGTGGTCTTCCGGTGTTGTCCCGTCTTGTTTTCTTGTTATTATTGTGATAGATATGCTTGCCTGAGCCGAGGGTCTATTGGAAACAGTCTCTCTACCTCCATAAAGTAGGGGTAAGGTCTGCGTACACACTACCCTCTCCAGACCTCACTAAACGGAATTATACTAGGTATGTTATTGTTGTATTACTATATCAAACTAATTATGAAGAATTACAGTGTACTTACTGTAGGATAAGGCCACTTGGAATGTGACTTCCACCAAGCTTTCAAGGCAGATGTAGTGTCACCAGGCAGCTTTCCTGCTCTTCTTTTGCGTAAAATTTCTTCTCTAATGTCAACAATCTTTTCCTTGTAACCCTAAAAAGAAAAAAGAGGAAACTAATTGTAGTTAACAGATAGAGGCGTATTCGAAATTTAGAATTAATAGATAGAAGAAATATAAAAAAGGGGCAGTCTGATTCACGAAGCATTCATATTTACGCAAGGTTCAGGAAAGGAATGCACTCCAAGAAAGCGTGATATAGACAGCATACACTGATGCAAGCATCAGTAGTGGCTGATCATTTCACGACGCGAGTCCGTGATCATACGGAGACGACTTTACTATTGTTCTAAAGCTTCGGTAGCTGACGAGTGTGATGTTATTATATGTATACATTTTAATCGAACTCTATTTTCGTATGTGAACATAACTCGAGTCGAAAGCAATGGGTTCAATTAAACCTGTAGAATCCGTCTTAAATTCTCACACTAACAAATCATTGTACAGAGCCAGTTTATGATTCTTTACCTGTTTGAATTCCTGTTTCAATTCTTGCCTCACACGTTCCATTAAGAACCTCTCACTTTCAGTAGGTACAAGAGGACCAAAACCAGTGCTATCTGATACATCTAAAACTCCATTATAACAGTTTGTGTTTGTCTCACTTTCTGTTTGGTCATCATCATCGTCTGACATAGTTGCACCTGTACCTTCTCCTGGTCCTACCCCTGTTGGCAAATCATATCCAATCATCACTCTACCATTCAAAATTGACACAAAAATGGATCTAGAAGTCAAACTTGACGAATTTAATCATTAGGTTTTTAATATTGAATTTATTTTACTTATGAAATTATGAGTTTAGACTTTAATACAACAAACAAGTTGGGGCGGCTATAAGAATCTTTACTAAACTACGCTCTCCATTTAAGTTAAAAATAAAAATGAAAGGTAGTGGAAGTTCTTGATGTTTCTTACTGGCATCAGAATCTCTAACAGGGTTAAAGACTCTTTGAAAACATAGGATCTTAAAAAAACATATTAATATATGAAATATATCTATAAATATTATTCTATAATGAAAATATTGAATTCAGTTGAATCCGAAAAATATAAAATGCATCTACGCTCTACCTTTGCCACATGTGTATGTAATGGTTGAAAAGATGGAGAAGAGTTTTTCTTTTCCCTCTATTTTAGTCAGTGACGGAGCCACCTTATATTAAGGGGTGTCAATTAACACTCCTTTGCCGGAAAGTTATGATATTTAGCTAGGTTACAAATTAAATTTATTTTTATTTATATGATTCATTTATATATTCTGACACCCCTTAATAAAATTTTTGGCTCAGGCAATAATTCCAATAACGCGTGAACTTTTAATATAGGTGATGAGTATTTCATCAAAATATCAAGTAACAAGTGAGATAGGCTAGTTATACAGTCAGACCTCTCTATAACAACATCCCTATATAAAAATACTTTACTATAAAAGTCAAGCTTTTCCGCAATCAATTTTCATCTTATGTTATAATATATGTTCTATATAACAGCACTTCGTTATAACATCCAAAAGTATTCTGAACAAATGAGACTATTATAAAGAGATTTGACGGCAGTAGGAGAAATTTGAAAAAAAAATAGAGTAGAGAATATTGTGTGACCAGTTAAGTTTTGTAGAGATTGATCAATCTCCCAACAAGCCATGACTGCTTCCATTGCATGGACACGAACATGTTGTTGCAGTTGCTCTTTAAAGGAAGAGAGCAGCAGAACATAATGTGTCTACATCACAAAAAAACAAGATAGATTAAGTTATATATATTGACAGTGTAAAGAATTTTTATACTATTACTGTAATTTAATTTATTATAGCATATTATTAATTTATCAGGTTATCATATCAGACTTAACAAAGATAAAAACATTCTTAAACCTAGAGGTAAACCTCAAGCAAAAGCTACTAATTTTAATGAATGACTAATATAACATGACTAGAAGATCACATAAAAGAAAGCTATAGTTATTAAGGGTGTACAAACCAAACCGGAAAACCGCACCAAACTGGAAAGTCAAACCAAACCGATTAAAAAAACCGACTAGGTATGGTTTGATTTGGTTTGGCATTTAGTAAAAAAATTCGAACCAAACCGACATATAAATATATAAATTTTATATATTCTTTTAAGATTTTACATAGAATTTTCTTTTAAAAATGTCTAAAAATATTTGGGATTCTCTTGCGGGATATAATATTTAATAATATATGAAGTGCTCCATATTTATTAACCTTAAATAATGGGTTGTATGATCACTTT